AGGACGCCGGGGGCAGAGCAGCTGGGGTGCTGCCGGGTTGGTCCAGTAGCACCCAGAGCGGCGCTGTGGGACCAACCGGCAGCGCCCCAGCTGCTCTGCGACAGGCATCCAGAGAAAAGCCTAGTCAGCTATGCAATTTGGAGCTGCGCCTGGGCTGTTCCGCTGCCAGCTTCCCCGTGGCTTTGCTCTGTGTCTTCCTGGTCTGCAGACCAGGGAGACGCGGAGAAAGCCCCAGAGTACACGGGCGGCAGGACCGCGAGGTCCCGCAGTCAGTGTCCTCCGGGGCGAGCCCCGTTCGTAACTTACGTCGGATCCGCGTAAGTCGGGGACTGCCTGTATTACTATTGGCATGCCCTTCTTCCAAAGACCAACCAAACTGACCTAAGAGATTCACACCAAAAGCAATTGCTTAAGTTTATGCTATTCTAAACCAATTCTTCCTAGCAAGGAAGTGCCTCCTTACTCCTTGGAGAGACACTGGAAGTGAGATAAGCATGCTAGGTACTAAAGAACTGATCAAATAAAGTAAATGCGTTAAGATATCTTGGTGATTTTTGTTGTTCCTTGGCAAATACTGAATCTCAACCATAGTCCAGTCACAAGTACTTGCAAGACAACATTATGTGGTCAGTACATGCCTAGAACACTGGTGGTCTACACATGATTGATTATATGCTGATGTGTTTCTGGGTGAATTACAAAACTGTTGATTGGTTTATAATAACTGAGGGTGCATCTACACTGCACCCTGAGCTCGAAATAAGCTATGCAATTTGGAGCTACACAAATTGCATAGTTTATTTTGAGTTAATTTCAAAATCACTAAATTATGAAATAAGCTCTGTCTACACTGCCAAATGTCGAAATAACCCGCTATTCCGAAACGTCCCTTAAACCTCGTGGAATGAGGTTTACAGGGGCGTCAGAACAGCAAGTCCGTTATATTTTGAAATAACGGGCTTGTTCAAAAGATGCAGAACAGCTACTTCAGTATACCGGAGGTATCCCAAAATTGCACCGCAGTGTAGACGTACCCTACGTGTTTTAATTTAAGAAATGCTATTCAAGTTAAAAAGTTGATCAGAAAAGAACCTAGCATTGAATTAATAAGCTGATGCTCCCTTGACTAACAAAAAAAAAAAAAAAAAAAAAAAAAAAGGGTATTCCATTCTCATATTGCTGATAGCATTGGCAAGAATTGAAAGGCAAATCTAGTTTGTTGGATTTCAGCTTTAAAACCTACCTGGTAGCCCAGCAAATGTACAAGAGTAAACTCATTTCATGCTTACATCGCTCAGGTGAAATGGGGCCACACCAGGGCATGTCTCCACAGCAGCATTATTTCGATATAACAGAGTGCATGTCTACCCAGCAAGCCCGTTACTTCGAAATAATTTTGAAATAACAGGCATTTTACTCCTACTTCTGTAACCCTCATTTCACAAGGAGTAAGGGAAAGGGAAGGATGTGTGTTCTTCCTTTGACTTCCTGCAGTGTAGAGAGTGCCGAGGCAATTAACGTAGCTGAAGTTGCATATCTTAATTCGAATTTAGCCTGCAGTGTAGACGTATGCAGAGGGGTTCCACTCATTATGGGAAGAAGAGAATGGCACAGAGTCCTCCGGTTACTGGTCAAGGAGGGACTAGACACTGTAACTCCCTTGGAGTCCGGGGATTGCCTGTCCTTTAGTAGCTTCCAGCTGGAGCTGGAAGACAATTTTTGGCTAGAAAAAAAACAAAAACATTTGGGAGGAGGGGAAAAGGCAGCAAAGGTGGGGAGAAGTGACTAGTCAACTAGCATGTTGACTATCCAATAAGCATTTGCTTATCAGATAGACTAGTCGTTCACATCCCTATTCCTGTCCCAGCCCTGAAAGGGACTGGAAGGATCCTGACACTCCTGGACTAAAGGAAACACTAGTTACAGCTCACCTGAGCTCTGTAAAGCCCCAGGGTTTAACACATTGACTCCCAGCAGCTAGTGAATTGGTGTGTTTTCTGGCTGACTGCAGGAACTGTGAATAAGGGGTTGGAGTAGGACAAGAAGCCCGAGCCCCAGTGACATAGCCTTTTACCTTTCCGCCTCCACAAAGACCATGCCCTGCATCAGAACCATCTTCCCATGGGTCAAGCCACCGAAGATCGTCGTCATATACGGGAGCACCTGAAACAGACGTAGGGTGGAGATGAGGGATCCATATTGGTGCTGGGAATGGGAGAGTCTGGGAGCTCTGGCTGATAACATGGAACTCGGGGTTCATTCCAACTCTGGGAGAAGAAGGGGATAATGGGAACTGACAGCCACGCCAGGTCCCTGGGCAAGGTGGGGGCTGGCTCTGTGCTCACGGAAGGGGAGGAGTCTCGGGGGAAGGGGGCGGGTCCAATGGCAGGCAGCACTGAGGGCTGCCTGGAGCGTACCGCGTGGCCCTCTGGGCCTAAGAGCCGCCCAGAGTGCGCCGCATGCTGCTATGGCAGCAATTTAAAGGGCTCAGGGCTCTGCTGCTGCCACAGCAGTAGCCACCGGAGCCCCAGGCCCTTTTGAATTGCTGGACCCAGGAGCAACTGCCCTCTTCACTCGCTTCCCTCTCCTGACAGCAGGCCTGAATGGGAGCTAGACTTTGAACGCAGGGCGGGAAGGCTCTCATCTGTGCACAGTCGGGCTGGGGGCCAGGACTCCTCTGCGCCATCCCCGCTTTGGGAGGGGAGGAGAGCAGCTAGGACAGGGCTGCTATCAATGCAGATCTCCTGGGTTCCATGCCCAGCGGTGGGAGGGAAACAGGGTGTAGCGATGGGTTCAAACAGGAGCAGATTAGCTGGGGCAACCGGGAGTTAAGACACCAAGTTCCATCTCTGCTGGTGATTCACTGTTCGACCTTGCAAAAGAACCCTCCCTTCCTCCCTCTTTCTGTGCCTCAGTTTCCCAGGGCATCAGACACCAGTTATTGTTTTAGCTTAGTGACTAGCATCAGTGTTGTGATCGGAAATTCCTGGGCTAAGTAAATGGGAAAAAATTATGTTCCAAACCAAAGCCCTGCGGGGGTGGAGGGAGGGAGATGATCACACAAACAAGGGTATTATAATATTACAGACCCCATCTCTTCTCACCATTGGAGACTGGATAGCTGACCAGAGATGAATTAGAAGCCAGAATATTTTACCTGAACCCCACTGAGCTCTGGGGAGGGCTGGGGGTACAATAGATTCAGGAGCTAAATAACCTGCCCCTTTCTGTAAGGCAGATGCCTGGATTTAGCAGAGTCCAAAATGAAACCACAACCCAAACTTCCTGAGTGAGGAACTGGCTTGATTTAAAGAAACCAGCAACTGTCTCAGCTGAAGTTTCTGCACTTTACAGAACCATGATCCGCCTGACAAGGGTCAGGAGAAAAGTCTGTGCAGAGAACAACCAGATGGCTGAAAAGTTTTGCAACATCCTGATAAGCAACCCTCCCCCAGCCCTAAACAAACAAACAGACAGACACAGCTGCAGAGAGGAGCTTAAAACAAGATTCCAGCTAAACTAGTCACACACACAGTGCTTGGGGATTAACCCTTGAAAAGTCAGGTTCCCCCTGGATTTAAGATCAGGTCAGACTGTCCCTGCTGCAACAGCCACACAAGGAGCCAGCTTCCCAGGAAGTGAGGTCAGCTGTCAGATATTTGACAGCACCCAGTTTGAGATCTGTTAGAAAAATCCCCCCCAGAGGCATGCTCTAAAGCACCCACCCTATGGACCATCCAAGCCTTGCTGGAGGGGGGGGGGGGGGGGGGTCCAGGAGCGCAC